CAATGTCCTGATGAAAAAGAATAAAGATATTGAATCTCCTTTTGACAAAAAAAACCCTGTGATCTTTATTATATGCTCATTTCCATATGAAAATATTTTACCAAGTTCCTTCTCACATTTTTACAGAATAACTTTTAATATACTTTAAATTACAGTTGAACATAAGCTACTTCCAAATGAAAGGGTAAAATGAAATATTTGTTAGCTTTAGCTAAATTATTTCCTGTGATTCTAGGTTTAGCATTGTAAAAAAATAAAAATATTTAAATTCATTAACACTGGTTTTGGCCATACACATTTTAAATTGTTGCAATTACATGAAAAATAAAAATATGGCAGGTAAATATAAAAATATCATTTCAGCCTATTTAATCTAAGTATCTCCAATTATAGTTTAACTCCAGTAAGAGCTAATATTTGTAAAATATTTTTTTTCCTTAAAAGTAATTCCAGTGTAAATCAGCCAAGGAATACATATTGGTATTACCAGCTCATCAAATTTTAACATATATTTGCAAAAACTAATTGGGTCTAATTTCTTATAGGTTTGAATAACTATATATTCACATTCAATGAGAAGAAACTCTCTTTTCCCAAGACTGAAATGAGAATATCAATAACTTCCTGATAACTATAAACAGTAAACAGTAAAATTAACTTGCTTGTTAAGTGTAATTAACAATCCACAACTGCTTCTAAAGCTATATTAACAAAGAAGAGTAACATTCTTCCATTGTATTAACAAAAAAGAGTAACATTCTTCCATTACTTCAAACTAAAAAGAAACAAAGGAAAATGTTTCTTTTGCCAACTTCCAATTAAAATTAATTTTGAGTAAAGGTCATTTAGTTAAGGATTTATCAGAATTAGTCATTTAAGTACCCCTCCTCACCATCTTGTCACTTTTAGTGAGATAACATGAACCCCCATTAGTATATAGCAATTAAGGTCAATTTACATATTTTAATTAAGAACCACCCCATATAAAACAATTAGCGTAATAGGCATACTAACTGGATTTCATAACATTTGGACGTTTTTCCAACTAGATAGACAGGAAACCTTAATTAGCATTAATTACTGCTGATCTGCATATGTTTGATAAGGCATACCCTTGCCACAAAAGATTATTTATTCCTGAATCTGCCAAATGCTACAGTTGCAGAGGATAAAAGGACTTTTCTTCACATTGCATGTTAATTTCTGGTACTTTACATTCACTTTTACATTTGAATTAGTATATTATAAAATAAATTGTATAAATGTTACAATAAGCCTCCTTAAATATGTACATTTTAACTTATAGGAATCATGCCAGTTAATATTTTACTAATTAAGCCATTCCACTTGTATTGTAATTGTGTGCAACATCACCAGCTTTACTTTGATTTGCTATTGTGAAACCATGTTACACAATCTTAATGGATAAAATGACAAATAGAGTCACTCCAGGAAGCTCAAGCCTACTGGGTCAAATTTCCATATTGGCAAATGCTTAAAAGTGTGCTCTGCATCCATACAGGTACCTCTGTGCAGCTCAACTGGTAGCTACTCTGATGCTGCCACAGGCTGAGAAGACAATCCTAGAATGTTTCACTTAAATGAGGCTGGTTTTCTTCTATGTTCTGGTTTTCAAGAGCCATAACCTTTAAGCCTCGATGTTCTCCTTTTCCTCTGTTTTACCTCCTACTCTAAATGCTCGTCACCTAGATGAGTCCAACCTAGGCCACCAGTTCTCTGTACAAGAGTACTTGTCCAAGAAGGTAAGCAGAGTCCCTATTCAGTATGCCAAGCCATGTGCCCTGGTACTGGGTAGTTCTGCAAATGATGTGGCAACTGTTTTAAATGACAATTTTATAATTAATTGATCTAGAAGTGGCACTTTCTGCTTATTCAACAAAACTGACTCATGTTAGCATCCTGCCCATTCTTCAGATCTTAGCTCAGACTTCAGTCCCTTTGAGAAGTCTTTCTGATCTCACCAATTCTATCAAAAGTCTTAATAACATGCTCTGGTTCATGCCACCATAACTAACACCTTCAACACTTAAGTAGGTCTTGTCTTGAGGCATGGGAAGCAAAGGTATTTATTGCTGGCCCCATTCTGTTGTTGAACAGACAAGTGGGTTTGGACTTCTATTCAAATTTCAGGTACAGGTACCATGCTTAGATCTTTTCCTACTAGTCCATTTCTTTAGAATTCGGGTCCTTACTTGCATCCTCTGATCTCTCCACTCAATACAATCCCCCACCTCCACCATGGCTAGATCCTGGTACTGGAAGTGCTGTAATACAAACTGATCACGACTACTCCCTCCCCACCCCAGCCTGCTGTGGAGAATCCTTGGCAGGAAGCATGCTTGGACTTCATCACACTGTAGCTTCCAAGGCCTCCCTGAATTCTGGCCATAAACTCCTGGATATAGCTGATCTCTATAATCCAAATAGAATGGCCCCATTCAGATACAATCCAACTTGCAGGCTTTTCTGGTTCATGTGTATGTACATTCCTAACCTGATCCATGACCACTTAGGGTATTTTTAAGTTGATGAGCCTATCAGGACTTTAAGCATCTACAGTGGCCTCTTGTGTCTGTGCCTTATGCTAGGGCCACATCTACACAGTGCGTGTAGGGATTTTTCCAATTTCATAAATTTAAAAAGACAGAATAGAAGAGTTTCAGCTATACTGAGTAAGAAAAAAACCCATGGTCCAGGAATTCTAAGCCATATGCTACTAACAGTAATTCTCCTAGTAATAGTTGGTCAGCAACACACACTAGCCAGAAAGGTCAATAAGCTAACAATATTTAATGGGTGGACAGTCAAGAAAATCTCTCTTTCTTAAAATTTCCCATTAGTGATATCTTAAAACCCAAAATTCTGCCGTTAAGGATTTTTCCTTTGTGTATTGTGAGTTAAGTTTATTGTTACTGTTGGAATTGTTTTATTTTTCTTTTCTACAATCCTGTGTTAAACTGTAAATATACCATTGGAGGGTTATCAATGATCTCCTTAACCGAGATAATAAACAGGAAGTACAAAGAAAATCCAAAGGAAATTTTATGACTACTTTATGATAAGAAATGTTTACTCTTGTGTTAATTTATGATAGGGACTGTTTCTTTAAACAGGTCAGTCTTCTCTTTCCTCAATTCAAGCAAAGCTAGAACATCTTTTATAACTACCCAAATTACAGATGCCTACATGTAGAACTTGTTAACTATGAGTGGGTCAATTGTTAATATAATAGAAATTCAAAAATTCAGCATTTTTGAAATTCAACTAAAGTAGCAAAATTCTGATATGGTCATCTAGCAATAAATCAGTAATAGAAAATTTATTCTAAGTTTTCTTTTCCAAATTCACTCATGTTTGCTACTACTTTGCCAAAAATCTTCTCCATTGACTTGAGACTTCTTAGAATTTTTAAATTAAGTAAAAGATGAATGAAAATGTAGATACAACCAATTATCCTTGGTTATATGACTAGAGAAAGAGTTTCAATAATTGGGCAATAACTTACTAAAGTTTTTAACCTGGGAATACTAGTATTTGAGCATGATTTCATAAGAAAATATTCTGCTTTAATATTTAATAGCTAAGTCATATTAGCATTGCTTAAGGGAGTTAACAGAAGAAAATAAACATATTCAAGAATAGTTAGAATAGATAAGAGTTCATTCTCTATAATAAAGATAAATTACCATAGCTCTAATCTTCAGTGCATTAACATTATTCAAATTTTTAAAAATAGATGTTTATAGAAAAGGAAGTGTTGGGTGATATCTTTGCTTTATGTAACATTGTAACTCCCATTATAAAATCAAGTATTACTAACCTCTTAACATTTGAAGTGATGATAGTGATTTTTCAGCATCAGTAAAGAGATTTAAATGGTAAACAGAACGATCCTATTTGTTTATTTAAGTTCATTTATTTGGCCTCTCATCCTAAAAACTTACATTTCCATGGTTACCACTGAATTAAGATAGTTGTGATGACTTCGTAAACAGAAAAAGAAAACTGCAGAAATGTCTTGTTAAGAGACTAGAAAAAGAACTGGGGTTCATCAAAGTTGGATGAAAGTAAAAAAAAATTTGCAGAGTGAATCATAGCTACAAATAACACAACGGATAGATTTTTAAACATGTTGTTGAATAAAAAAGGCAAATTGTAGAAAAATATATAGAATATGACACCTGAGTCAAGAAAAAAAATACTTATCTGATAAAACTATAAATGTAAGTAAGGGAATAACTAAAAATAATTCAGGATAGAGGTTACCTCTTGTAGTAGGTAGAAGTTGGGGGAGAAATTGGAGACAATAAGGAGAAGAAGGGTGTTCTAAAAGTATTAGTAAAATATAACTTTAGAGAAGCTTTGTTCCTGAACTGCAGTAGTGCATGGTAGAATGAAAGATTTGTACAATGAGGTATGTGGCAGTACAGTATATATTGTTATAAGCTATAGAGAAAGTTTCATTAGTTTATCTGAAAATCTATAACTTAAAAATAAGGGATATTTGTTTCTCTTTTT